CATTCAGGGGCCCATACTTCTAACCCTAAACCCTAAAACCCAAAAACCCTAAACCCCTAAAACCCCAAAACCCTAAACCCCGAAACCCTAAACCCTAAACCCTAAACCCTAAACCCCGAACCCCTAAACCCTAAATCCTTAACCCTTGACTCGAGACCCTTAACCCCTAACCCCTAACCCCTAAACCCCTAGACCCTGAACCCTAAACCTCCTTAACAAGAGCCCAGTCATGGACTTTACCTTCTCTTGGCTTGCAGGGGGCAGGCTTCAGGTGCCCGGCAGCCAAGGTTTAGGGTTTAGGGGTTTAAGGGTTTGGGGGTTCAGGGGTTTACGGCTTTAGGGGTTCAGGGGTTTAGGGCTTTAGGGGGTTTTAGGGGGTTTTAGGGGTTCAGGGGTTTAGGGGTTTTAGGGGTTTTCGGGGTTAGGGTCTGGGGTGTAGGGTGTACTGCATGGCTTGGGGTTTGGGGCCTTAACCGAAACCCTGAACTTCCTTTCCGGCATTCACGTGGGTCGTTGATGCCACGCTGCGACTGACCGGAAGCTTATTGTAAATGAACAGCTCCTGAGAGGAACCCTAACAATGAACCCTAAAGCCAAAACCCCAACAACAACAACTAAATCCCAAAACCCTACATCCCAAAACCTCGAGCCCTAAAACCCTAAACCCCAAAACCCTAAGCCCCCAAACCCTGAACCCCAAAACCCGACTTTAACGCCCAAAACCTTGAGCCCTAAACCCTAAACCCCCAAACCCTGAACCCCAAAACCCTAAGCCCCAAAACCCTAAACCCCAAACCTTGAGCCCTAAAACCCTAAGCCCCAAAACCCTGAGCCCCTAAACCCTGAACCCCAAAACCATAAACCCCAAACCCCCACACCCTGAACCCCATAACCCCAAAACCCGACTTTAAAAGCCCAACACCCTAAACCCTAAACCCTAAACGCTAAACCCCAGCCCCTAAACCCTAAACCGAGCGGGAGACCCGTCAGGTGGTGGGGCAGGTGGCCAGCGACATGGAGCTGGAGGTGATCTCTGAAGGAGCTCTCGGTTCGGGCTTTAGGGTTTTAGGAACCCCTTAAGGTTTAGGGTTTAGGGTTTAGGGTTTAGGGTTTAGGGTTTAGAGTTTAGGGTTTAGGGTTTAGGGTTTTGGGGTCGAGGGTCTAGGACTTAGGATTTTGGCTTCAGGGTCCAGGGTAGAGGGTTAATTAACCCTATACCCTGAACCCTAACCCTAAACCCCTAAGCCCTAAACCCCAAAGCCCTAAACCCTAAACCCTAAACCCCAAACCTAAACCCTAAACCCTGAACCCTAAACCCTAAACCCTAAACCCCCTAAGCCTTTAGGATCGGGGGCCTAACAGCCTAAGGCTCAGGGGTTCCCAGTCCCAGGAGGCTTGGTGTCATTGGGCGGCCCGGGTCTACCTATAAAGGGTTTAGGGTTTAGGGTTTAGGGTTTTGGTTTTTACTATAGGCCCTAAAGTAGTTCCTTTAACTTTTGGGGTTCTATAAGGGTTCCTTTAAGGGATCAAACATTTGCTTCTTTAAGGGATCTTTAAGGGATCATTATGCCTGTAGTCTCCATAGTAGTTCCTTTTTGGGGTTCATCTATAGAATGCTATAAGGTAACCCCAAGAAGGAGCTACTATGGGGCCTGTGGGTACCTAATAGCTCCTAACAGTAGCCCTTCGGGTTCTTGGAGTAATTCTGGTAATGTACCTTGGCAATTCGAGTAGAATGATTACATATGGTATGGTGCCTGGTATAGTCATAGTATCCTGAACCCTAAACCCTAAAAGCTTCTGCTCTTCTCACGCAAGGCCCCCGCATGAGGCCAGACAGCTTTTTGAGAACCTTTGGGTTTGAACCGTGCGGCCTAAGCCCTTGTTAGGGTTTTGGGTTTAGGGTTCAGACATCTCCACATATTCCCTACCTGCGCTGTCATATATACATGGTTCAACATAACGTAAGTGTCAGTGCAATGTCAACAAAACGAAACTACAAGTACTCACACTTTACAATATGAAAATACATGTAGCTAACCGCTGTAATGAAACACAAATGACTAAGCCGATGGATACATAACTGAATAGCAAACGCGATAAGCACCAATGCAATAGCGAAGAAACAAGTACATATGATAAAAAGAATAAACACATGGACAATGTCAAGGGATGAGTGCGTAAACAGTGAACAGATAGATACGCACATTTCTATAGATATGCGTATATATATATATACATACATACACAGGCGTGTGTATGTTTGCCTGTAGAGTTTCATTTGACATCTCATCCATAGTCCTTCCCCCTACACCCTAGACCCTACTTGGAGGTTCATGGGTAGTTATAAGTTTGGTTATAAGTCCCCTAATATGGGTTATAACTATAGTTACCCTACTTATAACCCGACTTATTAACTACCCATGAACCTCCAAGTATACGCTAACCCTAAACCCTAAACCCTAAACCCCACACCCTAAACCCTAAACCCTAAACCCTAAACCCCAAACCCCAAACCGCTCTACTAAAGCACCGCCCCCCCCACCCTAAGCCCCAGCAGGAAAGACCTCGACCGTCCAGCTCCTCTCCTTGCGCGAGCCTGGCCAGGCGGGAGCTCGGGCGAAGCGACGTCAAAGAGCGCATCTAAAACGTTTGAAACCCCCTCGAAGCATCGAAAGGGTACGATTCTAAAAACCTGGGTCTAGGGGTTGTTTTCAGGGCTTGTCGGGGTTCCAGGCGGTTTAAAAGTATAGGGTTTAGGGTTTTAGGGGTTGAAACTTTCAGGGCTCTAGGGTTGTTTAAGGGCATCTGTAGAATTGGTGTTCCCTGCCGCGTCGAGGGAAGCTGAATGCCGGGCTTTTTTAGGGGTTTTCACGGAGCCAAGGGGTGGAGTTTCGGAGCTTTGGTTCCCAGGATTTCAGGGTTTAGGGTTTCTGGGTTTCTGGGTTTAGGGTTCTTTAGGGTTTATAGGGTTTAGGTTCAAGTTTAGGGTTTAGTTGCTTGGAGTGTTTGTTTAGTAGGGGTTGCTAAGAGCCCCAAACCCGACGTGACAGCTCGAAACCCTTGCAGTCAACAAAAAATGGAGGGGTCCTGAATCCTTAAACTGTGGAAACCCAAGATCTGACCTGTCATAATAAACGTTTAAGTGTAGGGTTTAGGGTTTACAGTTTAGGGGTTTAGGGTTCACGTTTATAACGACGCGATATAAAACGTCTGTAAGGGTTTTAGGGCTTCGCGTGCTGTTCAGGGTTCTGAGTTTGGGGATTTCGCCGCCTAACAGGCACTGGTGGTGGACTTCTTTGCGCCCTGGTGCAAGGCTGGGGCATCATTACTCCCTAAACCCTAAACCCTAAACCCTAAACCCTAAACCCTTCTGCTGCCCCTGGAGTTGAAGCGCGCGGTTTATTTTCGGACTCTTCGAGCTTTGCCGCAGTCTGTGTTGAGTTTTTACGGGTATTGATGGGCTTCCCAGCGAGCCCTAACCCCAAACCCTAAACCCAAAACCCTAAACCATCAACCATCATCAGGGTTTAGGTTTCAGGGGTTCAGGGTTTAGGGTTTAGGGTTTAGTTTTAGGGGTTTAGGGTTTAGGGTTTAGGGTTTAGGTTTTAGGGGTTTAGGGTTTAGGGTTTAAGCCATGGCTTACTCGCCCAGTCGCCTGACCTCCCGACCTTGTCAGCTTCTTAGAAACCCCTCCAACCTGCCCTGCCTTAGACTTTCGGGTCTTTGTAATACCCGCACGCCCTAAACCCCAAACCCAAACACCCAAAACGCAAAACCCTCACCCAAAACCCCAAAACCCGAACCCCTAAACCCAAAACCCCAAACCCAAAACCCCTAAACCCAAAACCCCAAACCCAAAACCCTTAAAACCCAAAACCCAACAACCCAAAACCCAAGTCCCCAAAACCCCGAACCCCAAAGCCCGAACCCCAAAACCCCAAACCAGATACTCAAGCCTCGTCTCTGCAAGCTGCCCTGAACCCTAAACCCTAAACCCGTGTAAAGCTTCAGTACTTGTACCAAAGCTGAGGGGTAAAGATTGTAGGACTTATGCAGCTCGAAGTGCGCCCACATCCATGGCCCCAGAACGAATTGGAATTTTCTGCTGCTCACGCCGAAAGTCTATGGCTTCTGTACCTGTACATTACGCCTGCTACTTGACGTGTCTTAGCGACAAAGCTGCATGTTGTGGCCTGAGCCATCCGCTGCAGTGGTAACTATACAAGTGCGAACTGAAGATTATGCTGGCACACTCGGGAATCACTGTATTCTGCACTCCTCCTTGGGTCGAGTGAAAGGAAGAGCCACATGTCGATTCCCTGGCCTTGCTGATAGAAGAGATCAGCCATAAATGCTTCTCCCCCGGTTTTCAGCACAGCATCTGCAAAGCGTGACCGTTTGATGGCGGCTCGTATTTCTTAAGCCCCAGCAGTCCTCAAATAGATGGATAGCTCCGCCCGGGACTTGATAGAAAGGCCCGGCAAACATTCGAACTTCCGGTTGTGGTGGCGGTAGAACTCGCTGGAAAGCAGGTTCAATGTTAGCTTGAACTCCTTGGTCCACCATTATAGGCCTTGAAGACGAGGGACTCGTAGACGTAGGCTTTGGCTGCTTATTCCTTCCGGTAGAGGAAGATGACACCTGCTCCTCGATCATTGTCGATGGTAAAGTAGGCATTGGAGATGAACCTGGCATTGTCTTCTCAAACCTATCCTTTAGTTCTGTTATTCTTCCTCTTTGAGCTTCGCCCAACTGTTCGTAGGGAACCGCCAATAACCTTTGAAGCTCCTTGAGCTCGATCTTGGTCAGCTTCTTGTCTCCCTTGTCCGCCCTGTCCGCCTTTATCCGTAGCGCTCGAAGTCGTGCTTGTTGTTTACGGCCGCAATGCTTCATACCTTCCCAGATCCCAATAACTGCAATTCCCAACACCAGAATGGCCACATAAAGATCCCAAGGGATCTCTGCAGACAAATGATCTTTCTGGGCAGCAGTGCCACAAACCTGGCAAAGCATCACCAGCTTCTTTAGCCACGTCTGATTGACCACCAGTGATTTAGCCGACGCCTTCGTTGCCTCTCCGTAGTCGACCATTCCCCATAGCGCGATGAGGTGCTTCATTCGATCACGTGTTAGCGGCTTAGTCCCTAAATCAGCTCGTTGAAATTCTCCTCCAACGTGGCCCACCTTGACTTCTTTAGAGGTCATTCGTTCTTTGATCCAGTTGTAGCGGAGCTTCAAATGTCTTGTACGCCAGCTTCCACTGGGTGTGGTAAGAAGAGTCACTGCCGCGGTATTATCTACCCACGTGTTCACGGGAAGATCTTCTTGACATAATTCCTGGATCAGCCCCTTTGCCGATAGTCCAAGTAAAATACCATCCACCGCTTCCAGGAGTTCACTTTCACAAGTCGACAACGTCATCAACTGTTGTCGTGAGGAACGCCACGTAATAGCATTCCCTCCAAAGAAGACGCCAGCGCATCCTTGACTCTTTCCTCCCGACGGTGCAAATGATGAGTCAGTGTACACCTCCAAAGACCACTTGTCTGCCCCCACAAACTTCAAACGGTATCCTTTTGTTTCACAAAGATAATCAAGAAGTCTTTCGCCAATCTTGTTCACCATGTCCGGTGATTTTGTAATCTTCGAGGCCATGAGGGAGGTGATGTACATCACATCTGGTCTTGAGCGGCTTGACAACCAAAGCATTTCCCCAACCCGTCTTTGAGCCTCTTTAACTTCTTGTTCCCGGCCTTGAAGATCAACTGGTTCCGCAGATAACAAGGCTTGCTCCTCCTCATCCGAAAGAAGCAGGGTCTCTCGCGGACCTTGTGTTTTTGACCTTCCACCACCATGTTGATAGGTTCTCAGAAGCTCGTTGATGAACCCTTCTTGGGCCACCTCATATCCATCGCTGCGTTGATGTAACTCCATTCCAAGGAATCTTAGTGGGTTCTGGTAGTCGAGGACGTTCAATGAGTCACATTCCCACTTAGCTTCAACCCATTTATAGAAAGATCTCACCACGGAATCCAGTCCAGTGATCAGAAGGTCATCTATGTAGACCATTAGATAACCAAGAGGTTCTTGATCAAGAGAGCCTGCACGTACAATTTTTCACACCTGGTCATCCGAAACCAACTGCTTCAACTTCAAGGTGACGATCTCGCCTTCAACCTCGGTCTCCCACCTGGCTGCCCTTAGTTGATCATCACGGAAGCTGCTCCAGAGAGCAGGTGATTCTCTCAACCCATAGATTGACATCTGTACCAACCAGTAATCACCAGGCTCGGCAATGCCAAGCTCGTAAGCTATAGTGGGAGGTGAGAGAGCAACTGGATGACCCAACCAAGGTGCTAGCACAAAAGCTTGTCGTATATCTGTGGTAGCTGTAGTCCAAGGCTTACCTGCCGTAAAAGCCAGCATGGTCCTTAGGGAAGTCGCGTCAAGGCCCGCAGCGAATAAATCAAAGCAGGAATCTTCTTCCGGTACATGGTTCCCACATGCTACGAAGCGTGTTTTGCGTCTGTAACCTTGCGGTGTCTTGTCTGGCTTCACGGTATACACCCCTTTGCAAGGAACGATTCGACACCCTTTAGGTAGCTCATGCTGCTTCTTGACAACAAAGGCACGCTTATTGTCCTTGAGGTTCACGTACTCCTTCTTGGCGGACTCCTCCCATTTGGAAAGGTTCTGCTTCACCTCCTTGAGGCTCACCGTGTGAGTTACCTCCAGGCCCTTGCCCTTTGCCTCGAGCTCCTGGATGATTGTCTCTATGTCGGGCGTATACTGAACCTCAGCCTTCTTCATCATCTTTAGAAGCCTGGCCGTCATCTGATCCTTCCTTGACAACTCCGACATAGGCCTTGGAAGTACCATTGTCGTTGTCCCTTCCATAAACGTGTCATAGTCATCCTCCAGCTCCACAAAGGCCGTAGGCCCAGCTAAACCTTCTGGAACATGAGATCGACGAACTCTTGCGTCATGTGGTCCTGGTTCATCATCACCCACATCTCCAGGATCTTCAGCTGAGGCTTTAAGGGAATTGTAGTCAATGATGAAGCCTGCATCTTCCAACTCTTGAACATGTTGTTCTTCTAGCTTTGTGGCCCTCGGTGTATACATCAGAAAGATCACTCGATCTCCTGTCCAAGGTTGAACTTCATGCCATTGGTCTGGTGCAAACTCCAACAACTCACCCTTTTTCAGCTCCAAGACATTTCCTTCCACCACCGTTCCGTTCGCCAACTGCCTCGTTTCCATCTGGTCCTTGTCAACGGTTGCATTCTGCAACCATAGACCACCACCAGAAAACTCTGTAAGAGGAAAGATCATGTTCCGCGAGGGCTTGTAATTGTGGACGTCACGGTGGATTCCCAAGTTTGCGTTTCTTGCTATTCCGACGGCACTGAATGTACGACCGCCGCTCACCTTCTGACCAAATGTCGCAAGGTACTTGGTGGTGTGAGGGTAGAGCTTCAGGTTGGCTCTGTTGCCGGCCTTTCCTCCATGTACGTAAGCTCCCGTAAACCATGATGACACACATGTCTTCTTCCCGATCCGCAGGTCCGTGTCACCGAGCTCTTCAAGCTTGTCATATAGCTTTAGCACTTCATTGGTGTCAAAGTTTTCTTCGCGTAGAAGCCGTTGGGATATGTACTCAATCTCATTCTTCAGCTCCACCCTGCTTTGGGGTTTGTCATCACTTTCATGGTGCGGTACTCCAGAAGCTTCACCAGGAGGTAGAAGTCCGTGTAGGGAAGCCGGATTGACGACGTTGTACTTAACACTTTTGGCAATTGTTAGTCCACCATCCTCCCTCACGATCAAGTGTCCCTTGGATACATCCATTGCTGGTCCCCTATACCAACCTCTCTTCCATCGGGATCCCACCGCCTCGTACTTTTTCTCCTGAGTGCCTTTATAGGCTTTCGCACGGAACCATACTTCGTTCCCAAACGTAGTCGCCGGAGGTCTTGCCCACGGACTGTGAGGAAAAGCCTTGCTCCACAAACTAGCCGAGGCATGCTGAATTGCCATTGGCCACTCCCGAGGTTCTGCTTCACATCCTTTGAGAAGTGCACGAACTCGAGCTTTAGCCCACTTTATACCCAGCTCCGCAGTACTATTTCCACTTGGGTCACCTCCTGCAGTTCTGGAGTGCTTCAGCTCATTGTCCATAACCCACGTTCGAAACGTCTTCGAGCTGAACTCTCGTGCTCGATCCGTGTGCACCGAAGATACATGGAGCCCCGTCTGGCGTAGTTGCAGAAGAATATCTTTAGCTCCCAGCAACACCTCCGAAGTCGTTCTTCTTGAAAGTGCTCGAGTAATGTAGATGGTGGCGACTTCCGGTGGCTTTGTCAGGTCATCTATCTCCCGCTCCAACGACCGTTTGTCTTCAGAGGAAGAAACTTCTTCACCACCTTCCACAGCCATCTCCTCCTCAGCCTCTTCAAGGTCGTCACTAGAAAGATGTTCCTTTTCTGGCTCCAAAGCCAACAGATCGCCTTCTTCCTCTTCATCAGGAACGTACATTTCCTTCTCGTAGTCCGACATACCCATTGCGCTTAGATACTGCTTGGGGCACCTGTAGGCTGCGACCATGATGTACTTGAAGTCATCTCTATCCAGCGATCTTCCCTTTTGTTTATATGGTCCTGCCAAGTCAAAAGCAACGGTGTAGAGAGAAGGATGCTTGATTCTTCTGTGCTTGTAGCCATTGGCCTGGGCATTTATGCATACTGAACAATCGGCCCGGTAGGGCTGGTGGTCGTTGTCCAAATGACGCCTCCACTCCTCCTTTTGCTCACGCGTGAGCTTCCCGATCCGTATGCCAGCCTGGTTCAGCTCCTCCTCAAAGGCGAACTTTGTGTCGTGGTAGTTGAGGATGGAGCCTGCAACGAGTGACTTGAATTGCCTTGACCATTGATCCATAGCTTGCTCATCCAGTAGAGATGGAGGAACACATTGATCCCCAAAATCGTAATTTCCATTCATCTGGATCAAGTCTGGGTAGTTTGTTGCCAGTCTTGTTGGCTTTTTTGACCTGTGGCCATATGCTCCCATGTAGAAGGATGCTGTAGACATAGCACTGATTGACTTGAAAGACTTCCACAACTCTGTTTCCCAAACCGACGCTCGTGGTGAATCAAGTTCTCTTATCCGCTCTTCATCCTCTGGAAACTCCATCAAGAAGCCGACTTGGCCCGTGCCTTTTGACATTGCTGCCATCCACAACAAGAATGCTCTCGCTATACCAGCGGTTTCTTCATTCACTCGTTGTTGTTGTAGAGGAAGTAGACCAGTTTTCCCGTAGGGCTCTGTAGTTGTCCGAAGAGCATATAGATCAGGATCCCGGGGGTTCTTCCTTGACGTAGGCCATGTAAAGTGTTGTGGCTCGTAGATGATGTCTGTAATCTTCCCTTTTGAAGCAGCCCAAAGCAACATCTGGTACGCCCCGTTCCTTCGGGACAAGTTCCATAACTTCGAACTGCGGGTATTCACCTCCAGAACCATCTTGCCGGCTTTGGGGATAACGTTGAAGGGATCGTCATCATCCATCCTTTGTTTATCACAGAGGTGAACTACCCATTGCGAAGACGTCATCAAAGCTCTTCTCTTCCTCCTTGGAAGTGGCAACTTCTTCAAGTAGTCGTGGCCATTGTCTGGGCAAAAACCCTCCACCAACATTGCCTGCACATCCTCCGGAAGGTCCTTCGTGAATGGGCATGTAAGAACCACTTTCAGAAGCACTGCTTGATTCCCATTCACGATGTAGTCACGGAGGAGCTCGTTCCAAGACTTCATCTCCTCCTTTCTCATCACTTCCAACCTTGCGCTTAGCTTCTCAACCTGCTCGTTCAACTTGCAGAGGTGCTTTGCTTCAAGCTCCTTTATCAAAGCATGCGCTTCGGAAGCCTGGATCTCCGGGCAGTTGTTCACCAACTTCACCTTCAAGTAGCCGCGCTGGGGGTGGTAGAGCTGAAGAGAGCCCCTCTTCCACCTCAGTGAACATCCAAGGTCCTCAATGACTGGGCCCAGAGGTACTATTGGTTGAACCTGTTGTCCATCATCACTCTTGACCAACACCGTGCCTTGAAGATTCTGTCGTAGTA